TCCCACATGTATTACATATAAGAAAATGACCATGCATCAGTCTTCTACCAGCTCATTCCCCAAATTGCTCTCAAGCCCAGGGTCTTGCAGCAGGGTCTGAGGCATTCCAGCATTACCTTGACCCCACAGCCTTGCCTTGACCCCAGAGCAGCAGCCTCAACTGGGGGCTTCTTAGAAATGTGGCATCTTAGAAATGTGGCATCTCAGATTCGCTTCACATCTACTGACTGTGGAACCTTTATTATCCTGGGGTCTGTAAACAATTCATGTGTGCAGGAAAGCCGGGAAGTGGTGCTTTAGAAAGTAGGCAGTCCCCTTGGTTTGGCAAGGATTGTACATAGATTTTAGGGCCCAAGGTCAGGCCATGGAGGAAGGACCAGCCTCTTACTGTCTCTCAATCCAGAGGTTTGCTCTTCTTCCAGAAGCACAGAATATCAGTCTAGCAGCTGATTGTTCTTCCAGAACATGATGTCATTGTTTACACAGCCCAGAGGGTCATGACAACAGCATCTTTATTGTGAATATATTTATCAATGTAAATTCATCCTCTTTACACACATGGAACTTTTCATTAAATTCTACTTTTCTAAAAAAAATTTAACTACTCCTGCCTTCTTTTTCCCCCAATATAGCTTTTAATTTAAATGCTTAAGTGTTATTTGCTTTCATATGTAAAGAGAGCTTATATTCAGATTTTGTTTTTCACAAGCCAATTTGAAATTAAATTTTCATAGCTGATGTATTTGCTTTCACATTTTAACCTTACTTTGTGCTTTTGGCTCTTAGCACTTCCTTGCTGCCTACTCAATTTCATTCTTTTAAAATACAGACTCTTTAAATACTTTTATCATCTCCATTGACTCTGAAGGTTTATACCCAAATTCTCTGGATATTTGTTGTTGTTGTTGTTGTTGCCATATTATATACAAAATAACTATTTGACATTTCATGCAGTTTTGAAACTCTTTTCCATCAACTATTTAAACCTAACCCTAGATTTAGTGACTTAATGCAACTTGCTTTTCAAACTGTGACATCCTCATTTTTGGGTTCTTAACTTGGCTTTACTCTCAGAGGTACAGCACACCCACGGTAACCTTGTGTATGAAGGACAGGTGGGCGTTATGCTCACTGAGTCCATCAGTCTTCTTCTTCTTCTCCTGCTCCTTCTTCCTTTTAAAACCAATTTTCATTCAATTTATTAATCACGCCTTTTTACTCAGATAAGTAAATGCACATAAGTTATTTCTCCTCCAATTCTCATTGCTCTCTGGAATTTACTCTTACAAAAATGCCTTAGCCCGTGCTATTGTTATTTCTTTGTGTGTACCATTTTTTCCCCCTCTCCAGATGCTTCTCTTTGTAATGAACCTTTTCTACCTGCAAATGAAGGGCCACTTTTTATCTCTGAAAACCTCTTTCCATCCCCTCTGTCACTATCATCTCTTTTCCTGTTGTTTTGATGATTCCCCTGGGGACCTCCTGTAACTCTGAGCTCCTGCAGGCGTCCTCTCTTCTCCACTTTATGCTCTTCCCTCACGTTGCTTGTCATCCTTGTCTTTCCTAAGGGTGGTTCTTAAGGCGCTGGTCAGGGTGTACCATTCCATGTTGTGCGGTTGATGATTTTCTGTGCCTCTGTGGGGAATGCTAATTCTGCTGTAACATTAGTTTTCCTTTTCTCACTCAGCATTGGCTTATTTTCATGTGAGTCAGGCCTCCTCTTGTGAATTTCTCCCTTATCTTCTTGAATCCTGAGGAAGTCAAACACATTTGTATGAGTTTCTTCTGGATCCTAGGCAAAATGTTGTTGAGGTATTGTTTTTTTTTTCTCCTGTGATAATTCATATTTTCTTCCCTGTGGGTAGCAACTTATTTTGAATGGCCCCCATGTGGCTGGGTTATTGTTCCTGTTCTTGCTTTGGCTGAAGAGAGAGAGTTCTCAACCCCGAGTCTGCAGGTTGCTCTTGGAGCCTCCTGGTCCCCCCGCGGCTAGGAGAATCCCCTTCCGTGTTCGCAAGGCAAAGTTTCCAGGGACTTCTTCCTGGGATTGCTCTGCTGGATTCGGATGGATTTATGTTCTTTTCACTGGATGGAGTGCATAGAAGTCTACGGTGCACAGTCTGGATTGCTCAGAGGGTCTTTCCCATTTCATCCTTGCCCACAACGTTTTGATGTTGCTCTCAGCAATCAACGCTCCATGGCCAACACCGAATACTCTGTACTGGGATTGTTTGTACTTTTTGACCCAGAATAACTCAAAAAGGTGGAAATGAGACAATGGGAGGGGGAAGGGGAACACCCACAGTGATACCATAAAGCATCATAAAGGGAGAAAGGTATTAATTGAATGTGCACTGTTCCCATTATTACTCGATGACCCCACTTGGGATCTTGACCCAAGGAGAAGACAGTGAAATGTCTTATCTCTTTTTATATTAGAAAGTGTAGAGACTCTGAATGTGTTCATTTCTCCTTACAGTATTATCAACCTTTTATTTAGTTGAAATAAACTCCAGATTCTATACATAGGTAGGCAGGTAATCCCATTTACAGCTTCACAGGGAGTTGATATATTTTGCTTTGCCTTCAGAGATATTCATTATCTCTGAATTAGAATTCAAGAAAAGTTGTTAAAGTACTTCTAGCTGGTGGTGGTGGTGGTGAGGTTAATTTTTGTCCCGGGAATGAGTCAAAATTTTCCTAGTAGTGTGGTCTGAAAATAAGGTACATAAGGGCGTGATGAATTACCCAGTTATGTGCATCATCCTGCTTCTAGATCGATGAGCTTCCTTCCAGAATTCAACCTGAAACATGTAGCTTATGTACATAATGTCTTTCACACTGTGCTGTAACTGTGCCTGATCTTGCAGAGTTAATCACTACTCTTTGCTGAGAGAAGTTTGCCTTTCAGTGAAGCAGACAAATTGAGAAAAACAAGCCGAGTGAGGTTTCAGGGTAAGTGTATAACCGCAGAAGCCCAGGATGGCAAACAAGGGTATCTCCCGAGACAGGTTGCCATTGCTTCTGGAACCTTAAATGATCAAATCCATGCAGATTAATAGTTACGTGCTGCGGTTGTTTAGTGGCTAAGTTGTGTCTAACTGCTTGCAACCCCATGGACTCTAAGCCCGCTGGGTGCCTCTGTCCTTGGGATTCTCCAGGCAAGAATACTGGAGCAAGTTGCCATTTCCACCTCGAGGGGATCTTCCCGACCCAGGGTTGGAAACTGAGTCTCGCGCGTGTTGGCAGGTGGATTCTTTACGGCTGAAAGTGACTATTCCCTGACAGGTCACGTTTACTGCGTTCTTCATGTTTTCACTCATCAGTAAATGACCTTTGGGTGTGGTCATGTACTTAGAACACATCACTTCTCTTAACTCACTGAATTATTTTCAAAACACTCAGATCAAATAAGATTGAAAATCCTTCCACCTTGGCCTACAATATGCTATTTGGGGATGTTTTGTAAATGGTATAATATTTTATAAATAGTATAATCAAAGTATTACTTAGAAACTCTCTTTCTGCCCTTCAGTGTTTTCAACAGAGCTATGAGGAGGAGACTGCTGAGAAGGCAGAGATTCCAACATGAACAGTTTATTGTCAAGAAAAGAACAGGTTTTGGAAATTGCAGCCGTTCTGATGGGTGCAGGAGGAAAGGATAATGTACTTTCAAGATAGTTCCTGGGTAGAATGTTCTGGGCCTTTAGTGTTTATCAATAAAACTGGTACATCATTTTTAGAAGATGTAGCATTTCAACTAGGATTTAACATATTTAAAAATTATGACTTGTTGGAAAGAATAAATCACTTCTGGAAAAGGTTTCAATATAACTCAGGATTACATATTCTTCCAGAAGTTCTTTAAAGATCAGCCCCTTCACTCAGCTGATGTATGGGTGGAAACAAAAAGTGGTTTTTAATAAAGTTGGCTCAGACAGTAAAGAATTTGCCTGCAATGCGGGAGACCTGGGTTCAATCCCTGGGCTGGGAAGATCCTCTGGAGAAGGAAATAGCAACCCACTCCAGTATTCTTGCCTGAAGAATCCCATGGACAGAGAAGCCTGGTGGGCTGTAGCCCATGGGGTTGCAAACAGTCAGATGCAACAGAGTGACTAACACTTTCTTTTGAAGAGTCCTTTCTCCTTCCACACTGTTTTCACAGCAGGCAGCAAAGTCCTCTTGTTTGGTTTCACTTTCTATGTCTTGGTGGAAACTGGAAGTGGTCAGTCATGGATCTCTTAGAGAAAGACATGAGAGCAAGTTTTAAAGCTGACTTGACTTAAGCAGTGATGGAAGCACTGCCTCAAAATATGCAATTCTAATGACACTTTAGTGAAATCAATAAAACAGTGGCCATGGATCAGATTAAGTAATCCAGACTGTGGGAAATAAATGATCCTGTCTTGAACTATCTTGTTCTTGTTTTCACCACCCCACATGGCAAGACTACCCCTGAGATGGTGAGGGTGGGAATGCCCGTATCCAGGAGACCAGGCAGGCGTCCTGTCCATCAACACGGGCAGTGGTCCATCCTGGAGCCTCGAGTGAGTGGAACTAGGGGTGGGGAAGCACAGACGTGCTCATCCCGTGTGCCGTGGGGCGGCCAGGCCCAGATCCAGCGGGTGGATGCCTGGGGCAGCCCTGGCTGGGAAGGGGTGGGCTCTCCTCTGCCCCTGGGCTGCTCAGAGGCACTGATCCCTGCTTTCTAGCAGCAGCACGGACAAAAGCAGAAGCAGCTGCAGGCAGGCAGGTCGGCAGCCCCGGTGCAGGCAGCGTCTGGGGCCCCGCGGGGGCCGGGCCTGGCCACTGGGACTTGAAGAGATCTGATGGGACACTTCAGGAGATCTGGAGTTTCTGGCCCCAAAAGTCGGTTTATAAAAATTCCTGCAAAACCTGGGGATACACCTCAGTCTGTTGGGTTTTATTGCTTAATTAGCGAGTTGTCAGCAAGTGGCAGCATATAAACTGAGTGATGCTTTTGTCACCTGTTCACTTACTTTTTATCGGGATAATGAGCTGTGGAATGACAGGAAGAATCTTGTTCCCCCCGTGTTCCAGCATGTCGTGGATTCCTTGCCGAGCGAAAAACTCATAGGGAAATGTCATTTCACAGAGCCCATCAAAAAACAGAGGCAGATAATGATGGTAATCCAGCTTCTCAATTTCTACCTGAAAGGAGAGAGAAAAAAAATAATGTCATGTGAAAACAAAAATGAGGCAAAACATGGCTGGCCCAACTGAGAAGCTGTCAGCAACTTAAGAGAAGTAAGTTCTTCAGAACTTCAGGAAGGTTTCAGTAACCAGCTCATCTAATGACCAGAAGTATACTGTCATGTCTTTAATCTAGAAACGAGGTTAAAATCATTGATATTTAAATCTCACCAGACTAAAATCATAATCTACATTGGGAGCATTTTAGTATTTTGTGTGTGGGGGGGTGGTTCCTAGGTTAATTTTTTTCTACCACTTGGTACAAAGGCAGTAGTGAAAAGGGGTTCAAGAAGTCCAGGCTTTATACTGAAAAGATTTAAAATGGGGGAAAAAAACAGCTGAGAAGAGGTTAGCACCTGAATTTCTAAAAACAAGAATCTAATTGCACATTAATATATCTTATGAGATATGTCTTTTCAGGCCCTGGCAAATATGAAAGTGAGGGGTAAAATATGATCCCATGGATGTCTCCTGGAGCTGATGTCAAGTAGAATGTTGGGGCCATCGAGAAAAAATGGGAAAGACAGACATTGGGCTGAACTTAAATAGACTACTGACACATCAAAGTTAAAATATCTCAAATCTCTGGTCTGTTTCTTCTGGGGGCAGGGATATATCACTTTTCCACCTCTATATACTTCACTCTCAATAATGCCTACATGACCTCCTATCCTGACCTTTGCAGTTGTATCAAGCACCAGAAGGAATGGGAACAAAAATTGCAGAAGAGAGAAAAGAGGTGGTATGTTGGGAGCTGTTCACAAGTAGATTTGTTCTAGTCCAGATCCTCTATTGTCTAGAATATCCATGAGCTGACTTAGTACCTGCAGGTGACAGAAGGGGTGGTGAGGTCATGGATGGACAGTAGCCAACAGAGTAGGATTGTGGATATAATACACCTACAGGGCAAAGGATGCAGTGTTCCCAGGAAGAGGTGCAAATTTCCCCAGTTTTCAAGTCCTTATGAAAGCACCCAGCTTCCAGTTATCACTGTAATTAAGTGAGGATTCCATCAGGACCTCAGAGAAATCCTTTTACGTTAGGAAGTTTTCAGAGCCTCCAGTTCTCGCCCAGAATTCTGGAGTGTCTATCCTTTCTGCCCCTGGTGTGAATAAGAGATAATAACTCCTCCACACTTCTGAATGCTTACCATGAGTCTGGGTGAATCAAATGTCCTCAGATTCCCCAAGTGGGAGGTCTGTCTCCAGACGGCTCGTGAATTACCCGGCTAACTAAGGAAGTAAGCACTCAAGATTTGAATGTTCATGTCCTTTTGGAAGTAGGCTTGGAAAATAAATCCTAAATGGAGGTATATACAGATATAAGTTTTACTTTATATTGCTTGGATGAGTAAAATTTGCTCTATTCATGGTAAAAGCTTATGAAATCTGTATTTAATACTAGCCTTCTCAAGGATTTTTGGGTATTTGAAAACATTTTAGAGTGTTATTTTTAACAATTAAAAAAATCAATACATCACTCAGCTTCAAAACGTAGAGTGCTATTGTCTACAGTTTTACCGTGTAACCTAATTTTATAATGTGTCACCTGTACTATATTTTTCACTTTTTGCTAAATCTTTTTAAACCCATTGTTGCATTTTTACATATGTCTCTTATAAAGGAGCAAATCATTACATTTTGTACTTTAATATGAGCTAAGACTTTGTATTTTAGTATATGTCTGGCTAATGTCTGTCATCTTAATTTTTGGTCTCTGAATGTTATTTTCCATTTACTTTTTCCTTTCAATTTTGTAGTTTTGTTATATAGATTGTTTTATTTACATTTTGGTGTGTGATGACTTTAAAGATAAAATAGCCTGTATAAATATTTCATTGCATCTATGTCACAGCTTTCTCATACATTTAAAAAATGTATTTATCTTATTGAAGTAAGTTAAAAATATCCTACTAAGATAACTGACATGCCCATTTTTCCTTGGATTTTGTTGATTTTTTGGGGGTATGATTTGGAGCAACAACTCCAACATCAACAAGAGCACCAATAAAAATGTCATTTTATGGTACCAAACACTACTGTGAATACTTATGTGTACTAGTTCACTTAATCCTCATAAGAGCTCTAAGTACGAACAGGCTCTGTCGCTCAGTCCTGTCCGACTCTTTGCGACCCCGTGGACAGTAGCCCGCCAGGCCCCTCTGTCCATGGGATTCTCCAGGCAAGAACACTGGAGTGAGTAGCCATGTCCTCCTCCAGGGGATCTGCCTGACCCAGGGACCAAACTTGTTCCCGTGTCTCCTGCACTAGAAGGTCAGTTTTTTACCACTGAGCTGGCTGGGAGGACCAACAGCTCCAAAAGGTAGGTATTATTGGCATCTCACTTTTCAATATGAGGAAACTGAGGCACAGAGACGTTTAATAACTTGCCTAAGGTTTGCAGCTAGTTAGTGATAGAACTGGGATCCAAACCCAAGCAGGCTGGCTGCAGGACATGATACTACTTCTTAGGCTTCTTTTCTGGAACGTCAAAGTTCAGCATTATTGTAATCTTCCTTTATCCTCTTGTCTCTGTCTTGTTTATCATTATTAATGCAGTTTGTCTTAGTCTAATTGAATAATGATATTGCTATCACTAATTTGTCTACTATACCTTTTTCTATCCTTTTACTTTCTTCCTTCTCTGATATTATATTTATATATATGTGACATTATATATAAATATATATTTTATGTATGGAGGTTGATAAGTTTTATTTTTATATTTAAAAATTTTTATTGGAGTATAGTTGCTTTATAATGCTGTGTTAGTTTCCATTGTGCAGCAGAGTGAATCAGCCACACATATACATATATCCCCTCTTTTTTGGATTTCCTTCCCATTTATGTCACCATAGAGCATTGAGAAGAATTCCCTGTATTTTAAGAGTATCTTTTCTAAGTACCTTATAGCTGGGTTTGTTTTTTCCTCTCCCGTTTTACACTGTGCAACCAAACGACAAATTTCAAGAATGTACATGATTTCAAAAGTTTTAAAAAAGAAAGAAAAGCAAAGGGAGAAGGGAGAAGGGAAGGAAAAGAAAAGAGAGCTGGTGGCTCAGAGCTTAAAGTGTCTGCCTGCAATGCGGGAGACCTGGGTTTGATCCCTGGGTTGGGAAGATTCCCTGGAGAAGGAAATAGCAACCCACTCCAGTGTTCTTGCCTGGAGAATCCCATGGATGGAGGAGCCTGGACGGGGTCGCAGAGTCGGACACGACTGAGCGGCTTCACTTTCAGTTAACACCAGACGAAAGACTGAGAGAGATGGAGGAAGAAAAAAGATGATCTCTGTGTCTTTAAGTCCTCCCAGCACACTGACCACAGCAGTTCTTTCCTATCAGAAATTCTCTTCTTGGAAGTTCTTCTTCTGGCCTGTTTATCAATTATTTGGCATGTCTATTTCACTCAGACCTATTGTCTTAATAATGGAATAACAACTTGCCGTCATATTTTGAGGATGAAAACTTCTTAAAACTCTAGACGCGTTGCTACTTGCCACAGGGTGATTCTCTACACCTAACTTTCTTTGCTGTTTACACATCTTCTAAGGTTTCTTCTTTATCATTATAAGGTTGTTTCAGTTGATGAGTTTGGCCAGGCCTTAGGAAACATTCTTACGTTTCCATTTGCAATCAGGATCTCTGTGTATTTGTTTTGCTTTGAATGATCTATCAGAAATGATGTATCTGACTTGGTCTACTGTATTTTTCTTTTTATCCGAAGAGTTCCTTCTCATTGCCACCCGATCTTCACCTTGCTTTCCACAATAAAGGTGTCTGCTTCTTTACCCTCCTTCTCGCTTCAACCCACTTCCCTGCGGCTTCACCGCTCTTGCTTTCGCCCGGGTCCCCAGTGACCTTCACTCTGCCGGGTCTTCCCGTCCCTTTCGGCTCAGCATGGCGCAGTTGATCTCATGACGATGTCGTCCCCAGGCCTCCTGACAGCGTGCCCTAATCTCTGGGGTTCATCCTTGATTTCCTTCCTTCATCCAATCCGTCAGAAGGTAGATTGATTCTATCTCCAAACAGACGTTTAGTTCATTCCCTTCTCCACCATTTCACTTACTACCCGCTTCGCCTAAGCCACCAACCTCCCTTACCTGGACTATTGCGCCAGCCTCTAATTGATCTCCTATTTGGGTTTTTCCTTCCTGCTTCCTTTCTCTGTCCATCTGGGTCTTGACCTGCTGTGGCCCCTGACGGTCAGGGCCTCCCTGACGGGTTGGTCCCTTCCCTTCCCACCGGCCTCCTTGCAGCGCTGTTCCCTGGACACACGACGCCTTCCGTCTCCCCTCTCCTTCCTCCTTAGAGACTCTCTGAACGCACTCTTCCTGTCCTTTCCAGGCCTCTCAGTCGCCGGCAGCTCCCTTTCATCCAGACTTCAGTTCACCGAGGCCCTCTTACCACTGCCTACCGCTCTGTTTGATTTTCTTTGTGGTTCTTATCATTTATCCATTGCAGTTTCTTAAGTTCTGCTGTGTGGGCAGCTTGTCATTGCCTAGAAGGGTGTTTGGCACCTAACAGGTGAATTCTCAGTAATCTGCCCTCTGGGTTAACTCTTCGAGCAGCGTACTCAGCTGAGGAGCAAAGGCTAGAGGATGAATGACCGTATCTGGAGCCGAGGGTGGGAGCCACGGCAGAGCGCATGGAGGCTGGTGTTGGATGCCAACCCCGTGACGCGAGGAAGCACGTACGTTTCTACATCCTTAGGTATCCTACATATAAAATGCCATGTTTTCTCCATTAAGACTGCAGCAATTATTCATATTTCAGGAACTTAGTGAGTATTTTAATAGATAGCACAGACTTCTCCGTGCTTCTGTCTACCCTCTTTTCACTAGAAATCATTTAGGGTTTAATAATATGCTGTTCTGTTAACCTTTAAAAGTTTAGAAGGAAAAGTTTCTCTTTTTCACTGTATCATCAAAAATAAACAGATTACTGTGGGTCTATAACTAAT